CATAAGAATTAATCTATAATTTCAAGATTATAGTGGCATAGGTGGGATAGACGAAGAAAGCCTTGTAATACATCTTTTGTAGAGTTTCATAGGGTTAGGCTTAAAAGCTTCAAAAATTGGATAATTGAACCAACCCGCAAAGTTAAGAGTACACTTCTTTCCCATGACTTTGACGAAAACGCAACAATCCAAGTCTAATTCCTCCTTACTAAGATTGAAGTAATTATTAATAGAGCTGCACTTGACATTTCGCACTCTTCATTAGATTCAAGCACGGTCTTAAATAGTAAGCTCTATCTTCGTCTAGCCACCTATCTCATATCGGTGAATTGTAGTCATCATCTGCCCTTGTAACTCGAACAAAGCCTTGCAAATTTACTACTAACAAGAGGACCACCATTGCTTCAAGCGTGCTAGTTTGTTTTGCCATGGTTGAATTTAAAACTATTTAACTTACCAAAGTCAAGTATAGTAGCTATTTATAGAACCATTTCAATCAAGAAAACGTACATGCATATTTATTAAAGGAGTTATTCATTTTGGGAGTTGGATAAAGAAGATTTAATTCTACCCTAGGAGAAAGGTTAAAATATAAATGTCATTAAGTTTGTAACCTCCAATCTTACATTTGCACTTTTTGTAATACTTTAAATGTACAGGCGTGTTTAAAAAAAAAATAAATGATTCAAATAAATGAAAAATTTATAGGTTGGTTGGTTCATGTATTTTTTTCAAAATTAGATTGGTAAAACTAAAATAACTAAAATTTATTGTTATATAAATGAATTGAAGGAATAATTCTAATGAAAATTCATGAATAAAATATATCCTAATGGGAGAAGTTTGAGCTTAAATCGTGAATACTTAGGAGTTTGTGAGAACTTCTTGATGACTTTCCTTCGCCAGAGATTGAGCCAATATTAGAAAAGAAAGGTAGCCAACATCGATTCAATTCACTAGAGTTTTAAACGGTAACTTTAGGATTTTAATGAAAATTTTTTTGGTTAAATTTTTAATGTATAGTCAATGATTTTAGATGATTCTTGCTCCATTAGAGCCCTCGAACAAAGTATACCATTTGTTCGACACTTTAGTGACTTTTGATAACACCTTTGAGGCTTACAATTCTTTGTTCGATATTACAGGATTCTATTGACACGACTAAGTTTAGGGCATGACTCTGATACCTTGTTAGGAATCACAGATTTCTCCAATGGTATGATATTGTTCACTTTGAGCATAAGCTCTCATGGCTTTGTTTTTGGCTTCCCCAGAAGGCCTCCGTACCAATGGAGATGTATTTCCTTAATTGTAAATTCATAATCATTTCCTAAATTAGCCAATGACTCCCTCTCAACAATCCTACTTGAACAAGGTATACTATACACTAAAAGATACACATAGCAGCATGAAATGGACTACACAAAAGGCTTTGCCCGTATAGCTTATATGAACACTATACGATTGATACTTGCTCTAGCGATTCAAAAGAGGTGGATTGTGTTTCAATTGGATATAAAATCAACATTTCGTTCGTGGAGTGTTGAATGAGGAGGTTTATGTGGCACAAACCGTGATCAAGGGAGAAGAGAACAAAGTATATCGCTTCAAAAAGGCTTTATATGGTTTGAAGCAAATTCCACGTGGGTGGTAGTTTTATTTATTTTAGATTTTATGCTAAGATTTTATTTTTTCTGTCAAAACGAAAAGATATTATGCTTCATTTATTTGGAAAAGGTACGATTTCTAGAAGGAAATTACTACTTTGATGGAAAAGTAATAAAGACCTTTTATATTCCCATATACAACTTTCCTCCTTCCTTGTAAACAACTTTTGCTCTCCAAACGTTTAGGGTTTTGGAGGGTGTCTGAGAGTACGGAAAAATCGAGAGGGTTAACCAGGAAAAACGTGTGAGGTGGTTCGCTGGATTTTCTTCGGTGAGTGGCCGGAGGGAGAAGCGACCGAGGCTATCGGTGTTGAATATCGTTGCGCGTCGGTCGGAATAGGCGAGGGGTGTCGTCGCATCGTCGGAATCGGGGTTGTGACGTCGTCGTTGGCGGCGCAGCGACGATTAGGGTTTTCGCGAGACTTCGGGTAAGGAAGACGAAGGAAAACGGGTCGGGTTCACGTTGGCCTCTGGACCAGCCCACGGAACGAACGCGGGCCCTGTGCGTTTCGGCCCAACGCGGACGCGCGCTGCAGCCTTGGTCTCGGCTCCGGTGCTCTCGGCTCGGCTTGACGTGTACGGCGGCTCGGCTCCGTCAAAACCCGCGGCTTGGCTCCGTCAAATCCCGCAGCTCAGCTTGGCGGCTTAATTGGTCGGCTCGGCAGCTCGGCTTGGTGAATCGGTATCACTATAATATATTGATTCCAAGGTTTTTGGCCCTTCCGAAGCCGTTTCTGCCCTTAGTTTTACCATCCGAGGTCAGTAGGGCTCCTAAACGTTAAAGACAGATTAGGTCGAGGGTTTATTTTGATAAATAGCATGAGGTTTAGCTAGGGTACCTTATGAAAAGTTCTAAATTTTTATGTGGTTATCATAGGACATATTTAACCACTGGGATTAGCTCGTTGTGAGTGACTTCAACCAAGACCATCGAGGTAAGTGACCTTACTGTTGGAGTTAGCTTTCTACGTGTTGTATGATGGTGCGTGCCCTGTGGCCCCTGCATGCACCATATTTTCTGTGATATGATTATGTGATGTATAGATTGTGTTGAACGTAGACTGTGTATGTTATGTGATGTATGAACTCGTGTTGATTGTTGACTGTTTATGTTATGTCATGAATGAGATGATAGTATTATATGCCATGAATATGTTGATTGATGTCATAGATACACGTAGAATTATCGAGTCATGTCATGAGATGTTTATGCAACTGGAATGTTTATGTAATATGTCATGTAATGTAAGTCATGTGAGATGCCATGTAATGTAAGTCATGTGAGATGCCATGTGATGTAAGAAACATAAATGCGATGTTAGCACTGCTTATGTAATGCCATGTTAGATATGTTAAGGGACCTCATGCATATATGTATGTCACGTGCATCGGGATTCTTCCCCTTTATGATACGAAAGAATGAAATACGATATATATGTTCGCCATGATATCATGCGGGCCCTTTTCTATTCTATGGTGTCCGGCTACGTGTAACACGTTGTGCCCGACCAAGTCAGGCCCAGGGGGTACGTATAAGAGCCCGCCTGGTGGGTTCATGTACACGTACATGGGCTATGTGTGAAGGAGTACCACACATCCAACCCTACCCGGAATAGAAAAGCGCCCAAGGCTATGAAAAGTTTATGAAAAGTTAGGTCTCGCTCATATGTTGCATGTGTTTGCATTCCTAACCCCAACAGTGGGGTGACTTACTGAGTATTTCATAAAATACTCAAGCCACGTGCTACCTACATTTTTCAGGTAAAGGCAAGGCACCAATATACGGTTGACGGTGGAGCTGAGGCCACCATGGAAGTTGGTGAGGGGATATTTTTAGGAGTTTACTCTTATTAGACTATTTTAAGTTTTACATGGAGTATTCTTTCATTTGGATTTATTTCGAATTCAGTATTGAAGGATTATTTTCGGAATTTAGGTTTTGTTTTGGATTCATGAATATTTATGAAAGATTCTTTCAAGGTTATTTATGATGAGCTTCCACTTAATGAGATAAGTATGCATGGGTGACGTCACTAATTAGGTTAAAGAAAATTAGGGGCGTTACAGGAAGGCTTTGAAAAGCGTCCTTTATCAACATACTCTGTTATTCAAAAGGTCGCTGGGAATAAATTTAAATGAAAAAAATGTATTTAAATTTTGTTAATTTTAGTAAGTTTTTGTAATTGAGTCAAAAGTACAAAAGAAAAAAAAAAATGAGAGGCCAATAATTATCTTTAAGATAAGAGTGGGTTTATGGGATAGCCCTTTTTAGGCTTAAAACCTATAAATTAATTTGTTTTCTCATATTACAAGGCAGATCAAAAGAGCAAACCACGAGACCGAGTTCAATCAGGGAAGGGAAGTAGTGATTTCGTTCTGTCTCATTCATCTTGAGTATTTCTCTTTTTCTTTTACCCTGTTCAATCACAATTAGGGAAGGGAAAGATCAAGAATAGTTCAAGAATAACTCACAATCACAGAAGGGACAGGTTCAGTCTCATTAATCTTTATTCTTTACAAAAGCCGAGGTAAATGAATTAGTGGCCCTTGTTTACTATTCGTGAAAGAATAACTCACAATAACGGAACAAGGAGTTAAGTCTAATGAATAAGGAAGGAGTCTTGATTACAGTTCAGGGAGAGTCTAAGAGTGAAATCAAGTTCAGGAAAGAACGAACAGAGAAGAGACCTTCAACACCTATTCTATTTACCGTGAAAGAAGGAAAAGGATTGTGAATAGGAACAGAATACAAAATAAGGAGAAAGAGAAGAAATAGGTTCAGGGGAAGGAGCAGCAAAACTGAAAGTATAGAGAACAAAAAATATAGAGCAATAAAAAAAGGTTTTTCAAAATTCTTTGTCTTCTTGTCTCTCCCCTCTCAACATCTCTTTCACAACTCCGTGAGTGTTATTTTAACAAATTAGTATCAGAGCGAACTTTTATTTCAACAAATTAGTACCAGAGCCGATGACGAATATGATGGGACAAATGCCGCTACCACGATTAACGAAGACGAACTAAGAGATTTGGAGCATCCAAATGAAAGCTCTTCTCGATTCTCAAGATGCATGGGAGACGGTCGAAGAAGGTTTTGAAGAACCGAAGGATACCATGGGTTACACGGCGGTGCAAAATAAGGCGTTAAAAGAATTACGATCAAATGATAAGACAACATTATACATGCTGTTCCGGGCTGTTGACGAGTCGGGCTTTGAGAAGATTGCAAGGGCAACTACTTCAAAAAAAGCGTGGGACACTTTATAAAAGGTGTTCAAAGGAACCGACCAAGTCAAGCAAGTGCGTTTCCAAACTTTGCGTGACGAGTTGGAGAGCATGAAGATGAAGGAGTCAGAAAATGGATCTGACTACATTACGCGCGTACAGATCGTGGCAAATAAACTAAATCGAAACGGAGAAATGTTACCCGAGACGCGGGTTGTGGAGAAGATCTTGAGGTCGGTAACCGACAACTTCAAGAATGTTGTATGTGCGATAGAAGAGTCAAAGGATCTAGCGAAGTTCACAGTCGATGAACTCACCGATTCTCTCGAGGCACACGAGCAACGTAAGAAAAAGGAGGAGACACTTGATCAAGCACTTCAGACTAAGGCATCAATAAAGGATGAAAATGTACTCTACTTTCAAAATATTCAAGGTAGAGGTCGTGGAAGTTGCGGGAATGATCGTGGAAGTTGACAAGTTCTGAAGCCTTAGGAGATTTGGAGGATAGAAAAATTATGGGTAGTTTTACGTCACAGGAGCTGTTTCATGATCCCAACGACTCGCCGGTGATGTGTGTGAACGTCAAAGGCGTCGACTTAGGTATAAAGCACGCGACGCCTGTGATGATACCCAGAGCTACTGGCTGCATAATCTCGACTACTAGCACGGCAAGCGTTTCAGAAGGAATGGGTCCACACACCTACACAACATCCAAACATGATATTGTCGGCCTCACTAAGAACACTGTTCACGAACTTGGCCGCTATGGTATACGTGTCAACTGCATTTTGCCGTTCGGAGTTGCCATTGACGATGCTCGTGAATGGGTGGATGGATGACGGAAACGAGTGCATGAACTTCGAGATTCTGTCGCTGGCTGAGGTGGATCAAATGGAAGAGTTCATTAGGAGTTTGACCAATATTAAGGACACCACAATGAAGTCTTTTGGGAAAGCTCAAAGCAAAGCTACGAGAGCTTATGCTCAGAGCCGACAATATCATACCATTGGTGTGGAGATCTGTGATTCCTAATGGTTAAGACATGTTTGAAAATTCATTAAATTTAGCAATATAAGCATATAAAGTGGTTAAATGTTGTTATTTAAAATTTTAATTTTATCTCTAGGGAGTAAGATTGAGATCATATTCTATTTAAATACAATTAAAAACAATAGATTAAATTTAAAAGTTAAAAAATAGAAACCTTTTAAGGTTATCAAATTTATTATTAATAGATCATAAGAATTAATCTATAATTTCAAGATTACAGTGGCAGAGGGGTGGACGAAGAAAGCCTTGCAATACATCTTTTATAGAGTTTCATAGGGTTAGGGTTAGGCTTATAAGCTTCATAAATTGGATAATTGAACCAACCTGCAAAGTTAAGAGTACACTTTTTTCCTATGACTTTGACGAAAATGCAACAATTCAAGTCCAATTCCTCCTTACTAAGATTGAAGTAATTATTATAGAGTTGCACTTGACATTTCACACTCTTCATTAGATTCAAACACGGTCTTAAATAGAAATCTCTATCTTTGTCTAGCCACCTATCCTATATCGGTGAATTGTAGTCATCATCTGCCCTTATAACTCGAACAAAGCCTTGCAAATTTACTACTAACAAGAGGACCACTATTGCTCCAAGTGTGCTGGTTTCTTTTGCCATGGTTGAATTTGAAAACTATTTACCTTACCAAAGTAGCTATTTATAGAAACATTTCAATCAAGTAAGTGTAACATAAATAATTTACATTCATATTTATTAAAGGAGTTATTCATTTTGGGAGTTGGAAAAGAAGATTTAATTCTACCATATGAGAGACGGGTAAAAATATAAATGTCTTTTTAGTTTGTAACCTCCTCTTACATTTGCACTTTTTTAATGCTTTAATATATAGGTAGATTAAAAAAAATTATATGATTCAAATAAATGAAAATTTTATACGCTAGGTGTCTTCGTGTGTTTTTCTAAGATTGATCAAATTAAAATAACTCAAATTTATTATTAGTTAATGAATGAAAGGAATAATTCTAATAAAAATTCATGAATAAAATATGTTCTCATGGGAGAAGTTTGGACTTAAATAATTAAATGGTGAATCTTTATGAGGACTTTACAATTTGGGAGACAATATTAGCAAATAAATGTAGTGAACATGAATTTTATTCACTAGAGTTTTAAACGGTAACTTTGAGATTTTATGGAAATTTCTTTAGTTAAATTTTTCGTTTATAGTATGAGTTTAGACGATTCTTGCTCCATTAGATTGGTCTTGATGAGTTTTATAACTTTTGTTAAGGAATCATAAACAATACTTGATGATAATACACTCTTGATTTTGGTGCCAAAAATGGAAAGGGAGCAAATTTTATTCCGTCTTTGAGAATTCCTCCATGTAACAAATATAAATAATGATATAAGGCCTTCTACTTTGTATGAATATTGTTGGAGTGTAATCAAACCGCACATTTGCTAGGACAGAAGAAGGTCATGGGTAAATAAGTTGATATGAACTAAGAGACATCAATCGTACAATATATTCCAATGAAGATGTGAAGAAAATGGTGTTGAAATTAACCAAAGATATTTTAACTCATGCCATATTAGTTTCATTGTTATAAATTTTGGGTGGATTACAATTTAGAGTAATTTAGAGTTATTGTATTTCATTAATGTATTTTAAAGACATTTTATTTACTTTAGGTTACATTTACACCATAGTTAATTATGACCATAAAGTATAAATGCTACAACTCTTGGAATGCCTTTAATAGTTTCATTTTAAGGCTATATAAAGCGAGGTATATTATCTTTGTAAGTAGACTTGGAAAATATATTGTGTTTTTTTTAGCCAATGATTAAGTTTCTTTGTAATTCTATGTAGTTTAGGTTGCACGTAAAATCATTCAAACTCGACATGATCAATTTTGCTTGTGGAGTGATTCGAATCTCAAACAAGTGTTCTTGTGTTGAGATATTTGATCAACAAGAATCATTCAAGCTAGACATGATCGATCTTACTTGTGGAGTGATTCGAATCTCAAACAATGTTCTTGCCTTAAGATATTGGATTAACAAATTTGAATCTTACTCCCCTGGTAGTGATTTCCACGTATCATAAGTGATGGACATTATCTCTATTAGTATGATATATTTTAGGTGAAGCTAAAAGTAAATGATTATAGATATGGATGGTAAGTCTAACGACGTCTTTCTATGATAATTTTGAATGTAGTCTCATCACCGACGAAGAGGAGTTTATTTTTGAATAAACGGTATGGTTGTGCTTCTCTATTTTAGGTTACATGAATACCCCATTGCTTAGGGTGTGAAGTAGAAGTGGATGGAGAGTTAAGGTTGCGGGCTCTTGAGGGGAGGGACGACGAGAAAACGAAGACGGAAGGCCTCGGGAAGAGAGAGAAAATGGAAGAAGCAAACTTTGACTGCATCAACCCACAGTCCAGTAAACACGCCGGCGACCCAACCATTCTTATAGTCTATTAAGTTCAGACCCAAACCACTGCCTAGCAGCCCATCGGCAGACTTGCGCGCCTGTGAGAGTGACCTGATCCGACTCTCAACCCGTGTGCTTTCCAGCACCTACACGTGCATGACGTGTCCTTCCATCGGCTTCAGCAGCTTGGCTCAGCTTCAGCTCAACACGGCTAAAAACTGGCTATCCGGCTCGGGTTGTTAAATCCAACATTGTTTCATAAGTTTTGGACTCTCTTGAAGCTAAATTTGACCGTATTAAAAGGATTTTAGATCGGCATAAGCCTGTTTTCTTAGTTTTTTTAAACTAAATTGAGTTAGTAATTCTACTTTTACTAACGCTATTGAGTTTGTATTTAAATAGGTGAAGCCTCGGCATAAGTGAGAACGAATTCGAAGGGCAAATGCAAGCTAAATTGGAAGGTGAACTTTGGCAAAGGCCAATCATGTAAGTGACCCTTCTTTCGGCTCGGTTGGAAGACTTGTCTTATGTAAGATGAGACGTGCCTAGCGGCCCTTGTACGTGTCATGTATGTAGATAGGATGTACAATGACGGCATAATATGTTATAATTATGTGATTTGCTATGATGTTATGATATGTTATGATGATATGATGTATTATGATGCTATGGTATGCTATGATGATAATTCATAATGATCTCATGACATGAGATTTATGATGATGATATGACTTAGTATGATGATATCTCATGTTACGATGATGTACATGTATGAGATGTCATGTTGCATTATGATTGATCGCTTGTGGATGTATATATTAAAATGATGTAAAATTCACAAGAATAAGTGCAAGTATACACTATCACAAGTAGCAAGTAATAAGTAAATTATCGATTTCACATAGAACCTATCTTTTTCATTAATTTTATCGCTGGGAATTAAGTGAGCTTTTTGGTAATATTCAAATGGGTGTCGGTGATTTTAACCTAATTAAACGAAACTAACATAGAGTGCCACTGTTGGCAAAAAACCAGAAAATGACGAGGAAATCAATCATAATGAGGAAGGTTTGACGAAGAGAGATTAAATAGATAAGTTGCTGAGTTTTGTGGTAGATTTTAGTTTCTTTAAATAGATTCTCAAGCACACTTCCAAGGGTGATTATTTTCATAATGATTTTTAATTTTTATTAACAAGGCTCTAGGAGGAGAATTATTCCTAACTCTTCTATTACCTCCAAGTCTCGTTGCATTGAAACTAGAGTTATTTAAGACGATTTTATTGTTCCCTCTCTTCTCCCGAATAAGAAAACAAATGTATGTAAAGTAGCTAATTTAACACACATGTAAATCATTAACAACAACTCTTTAATAAACTAAAATCATACTGTCAACATACATCAACTATATAAAACTCTCTCGCCTCCCCTGTAAAGTTTCTTGAGTGTAAACACAAATGAATGACTATTTTGAGGAAAGATTTGGTGGTCTTTGGTTCAGTAGAAAAATTAATGTAGAGCGACAAAAGTCCAAGATTTGATTAGGAAACGAGAAAATCATGGGTATATAAGTTGGGAATAATATGTCCATAAATATGAAGCCAGTTGGATGATCCAAAAAATAAAACTAGGAGAGATTTTATTTAAAGTGGACAATACGATGCCATTGTTGAGATATGTAGAGGGTACCAATTAATATTATAATCCTGCTCCTAAATTAAATGTAATGATATAGCCATAGTAAGATGTGGTCGAGCTAATTAGATAGCGATTATGCTATGGTGAAAGGAAGATAGGAAGATGACCTAGTTAAAAGTGACTATTGGAGGGTAAACATTGAAAGATGACTATTTGTGGGGGAAACTTGATGGTCCTTCATTCAAGGTGAAAATTGTTTGTGTGTGACCATTCCATGAGAAAGAGGAAGATCATAGTAAAATAAGTGGGTGAAACATAAAGTAAAGCTATAAGGACTTGTGCCCATAAAAAAATAATATCTCATTATTGTAGAGGCATGTGAAAGGTTCAATGTTTCTGACATATATCTTTAATAAAATATTGAATGATATTTTAAGACCTTAAATAGAGTAAAGTAGCATAGGATTAAGTAATAATACTAATATTTGTTTACTTACATAAAGATGAAGCCCTAAAGGAATATGATGTCATTGTTTAAAGAGACTACAATTGTTACCGTATGAAAAAAGGAGGTTGAACGAATAAGAGATAGAATTGGTACACTTGGTCTAAGGGAAAATGCGTATAACGACTCTGACGGAAGGGACTATTTGTTGTCACGAGAGACGGTCGACATGTTTTATTTGTATTTCACATAATAATTCATTCTTAAGTTACCTAGACCATTCTCATAACTATTTGCAA